AGAAAAAGAGAAAAAAACACAGCCCTCCTTGTCTTTTGGTGGGTGGGGTGGGGGTTGGGGAATACAAAGGAAAGTATGTGAGAAATATAGTTGCGTAGACCTACAGTCAAGTAAGTAAAAGCGAAATTAGAGGTCCCTTCTAGCTTCCAGCCACTTTCCACGGTTCTATTCCGGATGCTGATTTGTCTTGCTTCGTCTTATACTTACCTTTTGAGCGTGTGTCTCTTGGAGGCGGGAGCTCGCGAGGAAGATATAACGAGGGACCCTGTACTCTAAGAATGTAGAAGAACACAATTCAGATGGATGGAGGAGAATGTGAGAATTCGAAATAAGAAAAATATGAAATAAAAATAAAACAAGACTTGCGTTTACATGCCGTGTATTAAATAAATAGGAGTAAGATAATCCGTAAGGGGGAAAAAAGAAGAAAAGAAGACAAACAAATGGAGAGAAAAGGAGCAGGAATAAAAAGAAAATGGGGAGAAATTAAATTCAAAAACAGCAAACGCCTTTCCGTCTTGGATAACAATGAAACATCTGAGGCCCAGTAAAGCAGGAGAGAAACAATTAAAATATATTATATTAGCAAACAGAACAGTAAATGAAGTAAATAAGAAACAATAATAGAGAGTCTTGAGCGGAAAGAAGGAGAGAGAGAAATGAAATATTAAAATCAAATAATAGGAGAAACAGCGGTGGGAAGGCCTCGCTTCTTTCGAAAGTAATAAAAAACAAAGAAGGGAACAATAACATGATAAATATAAACCTCCCGCCCAAGCCCCCGTTTCCTGTGATGCCGTTTTGAGTTTCCCGTAAAACATTAACTGGAAAAGGTGAAGAAAAAAATAGATAAGAAGATAAAAAACGCCGTATGTTGGTCCTGTTTTGGGGATTGGAGATGCCCAATCTTTGTATGTATGTATGTATGTATGTGGACGTTGTTGTATGTAAGTATGTATGTATATGTGTAGGTGTGTATGTCCGAATGTGTAAGGTGTGAAGAATTTTTGTCGTTAGATGGCCGCGCTTGATGTAATGTATATTATATGGGGCTGTCTGTACATGGGAAATTAGTAAAAAAGTAATATAGTCGTTAAATACGAATGAAGTCGCGAGTATTTATCTGAGGCGGTAATTTGAGGATATAGGGTATATGCGGGCTATTCATCGCATGGTCCATTTCGAAGACGTTTGCCGACGGATCTCATAATCTCAGAGAGGTTTTCTATTCATTTGCATTTGAAAAAGGAGGGAATTTTTTAACGCGAATGAAGCATTGGTATAGGACTGGTAGTCTCACAACCAACGCTTCCCTCTAGATGAACTTGTGGGGAACGGGATCGAAATCGAAACTGTGCCGATTTTCGCGGTGTATCACTAAATATCGAATCACGTCCAACATCGCACATCGTACAGCGAATGTAGGTGTGGATGTGGCGTAGGGAGGAGGAGGAAAAGAAATAAAAAAAGAGAGTGTGTATGACTGGATATTCCCGGGCAGTTACCGTCATTCCGCCCCCCTAACCTCATCTTTAACTTTCATGACCCACCTCATCCTCCCCGTAGTTTCCTTCGCCTGATCGACTACATCATCGATCGCAGCGTTGTTCTGACGACATTTCTCCCAGCAACTCGCGTATCCCGCGGTCGCTAGCTTCTTTATACTCGGCGAATAAACGTCCGAACCGCTCCATCCGTTCCCTCTCCGCTTCAATTTCCTTATTCTTCTGCTCCATGATCACATCAAAGCGGGTGAGCTGGTTCTGCCTCTCAATTTCCCGACTGCGTAGTTCCTTTAGCTCCGCGCGGAAACAATCGAGACGCATTTTGAATTCGAGTTGCTCTTTCGCTCGTGCACGGGTGAGCGTTTCGTATTGATTGCGCGAGTAATTGGCGATCTCTGAAGCCTCAGCAAGTACGCGATGGCTCTCATCCCTCTCCTCCGCGGCTAGCTGGTTCGTTCTGCGCGCATCCTCCTCTGCTTTCAGTCTCCTATCTTTCTCCCCTCGAACCTCCGCCTTCAAGTCTTCGATTTTCCTATCCTTGCGCGCTATCGAAATAAGATGCGCCTCGTGTGACTGCTCTGAATTACGCAATCGGTCCGTCACGTTTTGTAGCTGGAGCTTGAGCGTCTCGTTTATGCGTTGCGCCTCTTCCGCGCGCAACCGATGTAAACTACATTCGCGCGTTAAACGCGCTATGTCTTCCTGTAAATTGTGTATAACCCGCCCAGATTTCCCGGTCATCGCATGTCCTACAGCAGACGACCATTCGGGGCCTGGTAGGGATTCTCCATTGGGCATTGTGGAAGGGACCGGATGGTTTCGGGTGGTAGCGGGATCTATCGATAATGTGGGAAATATATGTTAGCAGCCGTTTTATAGGTGATTGGGTTCTTATACGTTTTGGCTTGGTATATATATGATTACACGAAGCTGATAGGGAGGCGCACCGTGCAAGATTTCATCGGAGCCATTTCCATTCTGAACCTGCTGGAGCTGCTGTTGCTGTTGCTGTTGCTGTTGCTGGTGGCGCTCGGGCGCAGAGGATTCGAAGAGACCATTGAACTGATGCATGTTGAGCCGAGTTTCGACATCGGGAAGGTGGATCTGAGGGGGTTCTGCAGCTAATTGTGCCACCACCACGGGTGGTGGAGGAGAGTGGTTAGCAATGGAGTCCCGGGAGAAGCTCAACTTGGTCAGTCTGACGCGCTCCATCGTGCCTCGCATTTTCCTTGTTTGGGGAGGTGGTTTTTTCTTCCTTTTCCACCCCTTCATCTTTTCCTTCCCTCCCCTCCTATTTTTCTCTTTTGTTTGTACAACAGAAGAAGAGGAAGGGCATGGGAAGCGCGCCAGGTAGGCCAGAGAGGGTAGTGTTGCTGGTATTGGATGCATGGCTTGGATAATGAAGAAGGGTAGTTTTCTCAACATACTGGTAAATGAATTCAAGCTCACTTTTCGCACCTGGATTAGATCAGACTGTGATGTATTATGGTTCTTCATCGCCGAGACATGTTGTAAATCTGATGGGAAGAGGAGGGTTGGACTGGAAACGATTGGAGACAAGAGAACGGGCAGAAATATACAGGAACACAGAAGAGACCCACAGGGACACAAACACAATTCTGCAGTTGTGAATAAAAGGTTGAAGATTGAACAGTACTAATCTTTATGGTGAGATAGAAATGCACAACCTTGAAGAAAGAGACAGAGCAGAAGTACCTGCCAGCCGGGTCTACTGATGTAGGTTCCCGCCTGCGCAACGCTTTATTTATTTAGCTAGCTTAGAAGGGAAAAGGACCGAGCCTGAGTTAGAGGATGGATGCACACCACAGCGGCAGCTAGCATGAAACAGAGCCACCAGAACCATTAAACAGATATAAGAATAGAGATGAAATATTGAA